AAAAAAAAAAGGGGGAAAAAAAGATTCGATTGACCGATTCCTTCTTCGATCGCACAACACAATGCCCTACAGACCTTTTCTTGAATCTTTTACACGGCGTAAGCATAAAGGAGAGAGAGAGAGAGAGAGAGAGAGAGAGAGAGAAAAAAAAGAAATCAGACAACTGCACAAAAGAGTAAAAGTGCTGGCTTTCGGAGCATAAGGAGCGCGAGAATTCGAATCGAGGTGCATTCTGTACCGGAGGTTTCGTTTTCGACGAAGGAGTACAGGAAGGGAGCGTTCTTTTGTTACCCGGTCTAACGAGCCATTTGGAGCAAGATGATGATGCGTATGTTTATATCAGAAAGACTCGTTTTTCTCGGCTGCCAGTGAAAGGGAGATCTATGAGAGAGAACGACATCATTGCAACCTAACTAGGCGTGTAAAACGCCTGCTCTAAAGATGTACTTAATTATATTAATTATATATGGAGAATGAAGGGGGGAAAAAAGTGAAAAAGGAAAAGAATGGAACTACGCAGAACAAAAAACCAACTAGATGATACTATTATATAATATATATTATACATAAAAATATATCTAAGCTGTTTGCAAATGATGATTTAAGAGATGAGAAGAAAAAGAAAGAGAGAGAGAGAGAAAGAAAGAGAGAAAAAAGAAAAAAAAACAGAGAAAAGAAGGTATGAATTTGTAATGTACTATTGTATTTTGTAGGCAGCTAGTGTACGTATACATATGCACATGTATCCGTGTATGTATGTTTACGTATATAAATATACATACTCTTCGACATTTACACGTACCGTTCGCCTAAATAATAGTCTGCAGAATATTTTCAATTCAACATCGGCCCAAGCTGAAGCAATTCAGGAGTATGTCGTTCGCGATCGTATGAATCAATTGTGACACTTTGAAGCCGCGAATCTTTGTGTTCCTGAATAGTGAAACGCTTGATCCGAATTTGTTAGAGCACTTGGGCGCACTGCAGATACACACGCTCTCGCCTCTAATTCGTATACAAACGTTAAGTACTGTATGTACCCTCGATGAAAGAAGGGAAGAAAAGAAGGCCACAGAAATTACGTGCGTTGGTACGTGTCTGTCACGTAATTGAAATACTTCAACGTTCAGTAAAATGCAGAAAAGGGGGAAAAACAAGAAAAGAAAAGAAAAGAAAAGAAAAGAAAAGAAAGAAATAAAATAATACCAATCCTACGGAGACGTTGTAATGATTTAAATAATCAACTATACCGACTATATAGCTAGGCCGTAAGCGAACACATTACGGACCGACTAAATTCCCTCCCGTCGCAGATTGATTGTGTGTTAACTAATAAGATTAAGTAACGATATAGTACCGTTAAGGAATTTAATTATTAATACTGATACTATCTGTACGCTAAGCACAGTTTCAAAGTCATTAAGCGACGTGAAGTGGCGAGAAAGGATTGCAACACGAGTCTTAATTTAAACATGTGACACACTGAGTTACTCGGCGCGTCTGCACACGACGCACAGAAACGTCAAATTACCTTGTTATCCTGCAACTGAAAATCGTTCGACAAGAAAAAATATTAGCAATAGTACTGTACACGAAGAAACATGCACACACACACACGCGCGCGCACGCGCGCATCATGCACACACATCATATACATGCACACACATCATATACATTTACACGCGACACACACACACAGGCAGAGACACATACGCGGCCGCATATACACGCTGCACAGGCTAGGAAAATGAAATACTATCTATAACGACATATTATAAATAATATTAAGACGTCAACTGTATTTGTTTAATAAAGATGTACATTCGACAAGTGGATGAACTAACTTTACAGCCGAAGGGATCTATTGGAATTCAAGTATGTGTATTTGTTCAATATCAACTTTATTTTTCATATATTTTTATATACATTGTGCTACATATTTATTTATTTTGTTTTATAAAAGCTTTCAGTGTGATTGAAATTGATAATTAAAATCTATGTAATACTGGAAAAATTTGATATATTTTAATATGTCCTGTAGGCTGAAAGATAGTTAATATTAATTTCTCCCTTCTTATAATAAACAAGAATGCTAATTTAATAAGTTATTTACTTTTTATTACATATATTTGTTTCAGCATTCTTTAAAATGTTTTATAATTGTCATATAATTTGATACATATATGTATGCACCCACAGGTAACTTGATTATTTTTACAATATATTTAGATATTTTTAAATATTTGATAAAATAAAAACACACTCTTTATAAATATCAGAATTCTTTATTATTATTATTAAATTAAAATCACTTTCAACATTAACAGCATTGCATCTGTATACAAATGCTGTTATACTATGCCATTTTTTAATTTTCATTAGTTTCCATACAATATTTTGCTTCATGCGCTTATATTTACAATTAAACATGATAAACAAAATGTAACTAAACAGTTTCACCACTATATAAATAATAGTCTACAATGTTCACATGTCTTACAAGTCAAATTATATAATATTATTAAATTTCAGCTTTGAAATAACTTTTAACATATATAACATAATCATTTTAGCTTTTTAGAAAGCGGAGATTATAATAAATAACAGAGATAGGTATATCTTTTTTTAAAACATAATTTACTTAAAAAGTTCCCTTATCATTATCATTTTCATTATGAAAAATTTTAATAACATGTCGAAAATGTTGTTTAGCGTGAACATCCAACTGGAAACTTCAATATTTATTTATATCCTTTTGTGAATGATATAAAATGTTCACGTTTCACTCTTACCCATGGTGTGAATTTATGACGCTCCAGTTGAATATTTAGACGTTTTTATTCATTAATGATATTTAATTTAAGCAATAATGTAGCTTTTATAAAATGTTAAGTTGTAACACCAGTCTTAACAACACATAATTTTACGATGTTAAGCCAATTTCATTATTGTACAATGAATGAATTAAGTAGTATTATTTATAACATAAATAATACCTTATTAATTAGGCTTATGCATATGAAAAAACATCTTAAAACATTCCACGATTTCATAATATTATTTTAGTTAACGATTAAATTTAGATGCTAATCGTTTGAATAAACAGGTGTTATTTTAAAAAGTTAAACATTGACGTGATCAAGTGAAATAATAACAAAGACAAGAGATAAGTACTGACGATTTCAGACATAAAATGAGTATGTATTGTTTTAGATTGGTCTCTATTCTCTTGCTTTGATTACTTTTACAATAAACAATATATATGTTGGTTTTTTTTCGTATCAAATAAATGTTTCATGAAGAAATACCACTTTCAATACTTTTTACTTGATTTCTATTGCATATGTTTACTGCAAATAGCAGTTTTTGTCTCAGTATCAGCAAACGATAATCGTTGTCTGTTCTCCAGTATGAGCATTCCAATGTAAGAGAGCACTTTGACACACGACACTCCATACATAAGGAATAAAGAATTCTTCTGGTTGTTCCTCTTCCACATATTTAAACTTCAATTCTGGAAATTTCTATATAATGCACAGACAAATCAAATAATAAAATTAAATAAATATAATAAGATAATTTAAGCAGAATCATTCATCTTATGAAAAACGCTTATTTAAACGATTTCTCTATATATTTGCATCACATAATTAGCTTAAATATATGAATATGCATATATGATAGTAAAGAAGAAATAGTTGAATTAATTTTATATATTTTCACATATTAAATATAGATGAAACATACCCTTAAGCGGTCACGTGGCCATTCACTAGTACCTTGCTGAATTGTACTTAATACTTGACTCACACCAAGTTGCGATTGATCTTTTTGTTCCAATTTATAAGAAAAAAAATTTATGACCTAATGGATAATATTTGGAAATTATATCATATAATTCGGAATCAAAAAATATAAAATTTTTTATAGAATCTATATTTACTTACAGAATCTATATTCTGCACAATGTCTTGAAATGCTGAATGCATCCTAAATGGTTGAAAAATATCTTTTTTATATAAAAGAGTATATATTAAGTTTGGATTATGTGCGAGTCTATGAGTTAAACAACTATTTATGATCTCTAGTACCATTCGTAAAACTTCTTCCAGTATTGTTAAGTCTTGGATCTGAAACGTAGTACGTGATTATTATTTAGTATAAATTACTTATTACAAATTATTGCAAAATCTTACTAAATCTGTGTTTGGTGTTGTTCCATTAACGGTAGTAGTAGTATTGTCAGAAGAAACAGAAGGTTGCGTGCGTATTTTTGTTTCTAATCTAGCATGTTTTTTTGCGAGAGTTTCAAATAAACTCAATAATCTTTGACTAACATACGGATGTAAAGATGTAAACTGTGCTGACATATTTGCCAAAGCTGCTAAGCAATTTGTATGGAGATATTTATCCTGTGAAAATATATAAAAATATATTATTATTTAGAATAGCTTCAAATTAATTTCTCATTATATTTATGTCTACTTTACCCTCATTTTGAACATATTATATTGTATGGTTCTTATGACAACAAGAATTAAAAGACCTCCTAATGATATTTCACTTATTGATCTTTCTGTATACCAACTCACACCCTTAAGCATCTGAAAATTAATTATCATTAATTATTCAAAATTTCATATATCTCTATACTTGTGTTTTAAAATACGTACTATTTCATGTATCCTCTTGTTAAATGTTTCATCTTCACTTAAAATTAAAAGAATAATAAGAGACATATAAATGTGATGCGACGTATTGTTTGGAGCATGATACAATATTTGAAGTATTGGTATTACCTGCAAAACATAATTCTATATAATATATTTTAAACTCATAATACTTTAAATGATTAATAAATTAAGTTTGCATTCACCAATAGCTGTATATCTGATCTTCTCATGATATTTTGTTTTACACTTGAATTTCTATGGAGCAACATGTATAATAATAATGTAACTTCATCTGTATTTGGTATTTTACATATGGTATTATACAATTTATTTAAATTAAACCTAAATTTTCCTTGCATTGTGATATAGTCTTCTAAAAAATATATATAATTATTTTAGAATCAATTAATAACAAAATATTCATGAATAACAGATTTCTTGTATTATTCAATATTTGAAGGTTAACGTAGAGACTCATTAAATTGCTAACCTTGCATATCCACAAATGTAAAAAGTGCATTCCTATAAGGATTTTGAGTTGCAGTACAATGATTTGTTAATATCAATAGAAGTAATAATGATTGACTAGCAAGAGGTGTTTCTGTATCACGTTTTCGTTCCTCTTCTTCAGAAGTACCATTACTTGTAACTTGTACATTTTTTAAACTACTACCCATACCCATTGTAATTACATTCCACAATCCAGCTAAAATGTTTATAAATAGAAACATTTCTATGAAAAAAATATTCTGTTCTAATACACAAGTATTACTAAACATACCTGCCAGACTAAAAACAATACTTCCTCCTGGTTGCTGGGTAAGTAAACCAGGAGGAGCATGTTCTTGTTGCACAAAATTATGCAGCAATGTACATACCATTGCTGCTGCGTGTTCACTAGAATGCGAATGCATTGCTATTCTATAGATACAACTGTATTCAGCTGCAGTTTGTGAAAAAAGTTGTACAGAAAGTAATACGAGTAAGCAATTTATAGCTTCTAGATGAACTACATACGTGAACTCACTGTAAAATAAAATTTTGTAAATCATTTATGATTTTAAAATATTGTTAAATTAATAGAATAAGCATAATCCACTCACCACAATGGTACATCTGTTATGATGTCAACTAATGCTTCAAAAAGATCTTTTAATCTATAAGATGAATTAGATTGCGTTGGTACTGACAACTGTGGTGCTTCTATATGTTTTATCATTTCTTCTTCACCCACTGTTTCTATTAAATATTTCAATATACATCTTACCGTAAACAATGCATTGTATGTCTGCCAGGCTGATATGATTCTATGAAATATAATTAAATGGACGATAAATTAGTTTTATAGTATAATGCTATATGTAAAATATATATAATAATGAAAATCATATACTTTTGATTTTGCATTGATGCAAGTAAACTACTGGCACGCATAAGAGCAACTTGTATCAAACTACCAAAGTTGCCAGTGGTTAAATTATTAGCCAACAACTGTTGGCATGAGGAATCTAGTCGAGAGTCTAGTTCTATCTGGTCACTTCTTGTAACAGGTGGTCTCATATTGTAAGATAAAAATGTATTCCAAAATGGATCATTTGGAAGAATACTCTTTTTCCCACAAAACTTTTCTAGATAAACATTTTTTGATAAATCATCGTATCGACTTGGTGTCGTACCCATTGCCTCACTTTAAATTCCTAGAAATAAAACATACACTTAATTGCAATTGAAGTTTCAATATGTTAAAACAATATATTTATTCATAAGATATTTTTTTATTTCTGTCTTAATATATTAGCAAATTGTTTTTAACAATTTCATATCATAGGTTACGTCTGTTATCATTCTTAGTAAATTGTGTATAACTATAACAGAGATAACTTGTAAATGCACTGAATTACATCAACACAGGGAAATACAAAACATTTCAACTACATGAAAACATCGTATAACAACATACTTTGACAATCCACTGTCATAGAAATTGAAAAATTTCAATAATGGTTTCTAAGTATGAGCTTTCGTTTCATATACTGTCGCCTTTATATCTCTACGTGTTTTTCGCGTCGAAATTATCATTAAATATCTTTTCGTAATGCGTTTATAGGCAATACGAGTATAATGAGTTAACACAGAGAAATATAACCTCTTCGCATAGTCAACCGAGCACTTTGCAAATATATAGATAAATCAAAATGAGCGCCATCTTCGTTATTCGTTAAATGTCACACGTTCAATAGTTAAAATAATAATAACTTACAATTGTGTTGGTTTTTTTGCGAAAAAGTACAATTGAAAAATAAAAGAAAGAAAACTAAGATATATGTTACACATTTTATGCATGGAAACAGGTTCCACATCATTAAGATGACGTATCAATATGTCGTATGCGATTATAACGATAATTGACAAGTTTGAATTTCGATGAGTGCAGTGACTACATTTTAGAACGATCATATCAATGTATGTCATATAATTCTTATATAATTTAATATCATATAATTCTCATATAATTTAATATCATATAATTTTAGTTTAAAATAAAATCATTATAAAATAGAGAAGACTCCGTTAACACGTTGTTACATTTATGTTTGTCTTGAATGATTATTTTCAGAGTAAAACATTGTCTATGTCAGGACTTCTTATTATTCTCTACCGCTATAATGAATCGTCATCATAAACTCTTACAAACCGAAGAATTGTATTCTGAGTCCGTAGACATGATAAAATCCGCTATCAAAGGATTACAAAGGCAAATTAAGCCGATACAAAAATTTATCGGTGATCGCAAAAGAGATATAACTGAATTTGGCAGGTTGGTTCGCAATAAGCAAAGCTTAACCTGTGAATTTAGATTGAAATTTGAAGTTCGAAGCCTTTTAGTTTTCCTACTTTCTCTCATATGCAATCACACGAAATTGTAAATTCAAGGAAAAAGAAATTAAATGCTCGAATATTTTCATTCATATGTATGAATGTTATCCTAGCTTCCCTACACAGTAGTGATATCTTTGCCATTTGTTAATTATCTTTGTCTTTCATTTTTTGCGGATAGAACGGAGAAGACCGACAATTCTAATTCTTTGGAATCCACACGACTGTTCTACGAGTACATTTTGGAGGAACTTATAAATATTGAGCGAACGTGTGAGGAATATTTCGTGCGTTTGAACATCGATTTATTAACAGCAACGAAAGATCGTACGCAGCCACCATCTTACTTACTTCCGGAGGAGATGAGAAAAGCTTATCGTACATGTTGCGACGCGTTCGACGAAGCAGAGAAGGACCAGGTATCCTGCCACTGTTTTTGGGAGAATAAACTCGAATGGGATCTCGATGATACTCAGGATATCTTGGCTAAACCAAGAATAATCGCGCGAACCGAGTTCGACGAGCATGACTTGAATTTCATACAAGAAATCCTTTATCTTAGATCGCGTATGTCCTCCTTACCGAGGAAACGGATCAACGTGTAGGTAACTCTCAGTTTTATTTAGTATTTTCTCTATTGCGTTTACTGCATTTCGGAGATCTGGAAATTGAAGAGATAAACTTGGGATGTTGCTCTATTTAATAAAAGATCTTCTTCTAGTAAAAGCGGTCACGACATCATTCATGACACTGTCAACGGCAAATATCGAGCAAGTATTCGATTATCGTTGAAGACCACGGATTTCCTTCAATTTCTTCAGCAGAGGGAAGCTCCCCGAGTTTTTTCGTACAGCGATGAATTATTGAAATTAAAAAGCTTGAAATTCGTTGACGGAAAGTTCAAGACTAACGACACTTGGATAAAGATTTTAGACGTTCATGGGAACCTTAACGAGTCGAGGTGGCATTTAGTGCTCTGCCCTCAGATTGAGAAAATCTTAACTAAACACGCGGTACCGGTACTGCGCTTGAATCCGCTTGCCACTTTCAACTTTTTATCGGGTATTACGAATTTTACGGGTTTCGTACTGTCGAGGGCAGATATAATTCCTCTGTTGAAATATAAAAATGATGCCACTTGGTTGACCAGCTGGAAATTTCAGTTCAAGATGATAGATGGGAAGCACATAGCTGCGACAGTGATACAAGCTTTCTGGCGTGGTTATTGGGTAAATATGTATCATAGCTTCTTAATAGTGGTAAATTATTTTTTTGTTGCTAATCATTGAAAAGTCGACTTCGTAGAAAGATTTATAAGACATATAAAAGAAACAAAATACTGACGTATAAATCTATCTTATGTAGCTACGAAAAAAGAAATGGCACTTGAATCGTCTTTACATAGCTGCGAGTCTCATGTGGTTCTTTTGGTTATCGGTAAGGGCAAGAAAGGAAATGCACCGGCGTTACCTCAAGAAAATGCTCGTCTCTTTGCAAGCTACTCGAGACCTTGCACTGAAGTTAAGCAACGAGTACGACTCTATAATTGAACAGCCTCATGTGATCTTGCATTTACCATCCATCGGTCTTTTTCCGGAATTACGTCGAATGTTCAATCCGAAGATATTCGCGATTTACCAAAACATCACAATCTTTCGAATCTGTTCGGTGCGCAATCCAAAAGCTGAGGTAGTTTACATTCTGCCTGTAAAGCCTACTCAAGATTTACTACTGATGTACAGCGACTTTATCGAATCGATATCACCCGACGAAGACGTGGCGAAACGGATTAGCTTCATCGCACTTTCACAAGCGGATACTTTCAATAAACTGTCTTTAAACGTTTCGAGGATCCTTCACTGTTCTCAAGAATCGCTCAATGAAATTGAGAAGAAAATCACTGGCAAGTCTGCTTATTTTTTGCCATACATTGTCGACGAATGTGACATGAGGTTGGCTGGAAGTTTCAATATTCCTCTGTTGAGCATCGACATGGAATTGCAACAAAAATTTCTAAACGCTTCAAACATAGCTGAAATGATAGACAACCTTGGCCTTTTACAGCCACCGCATGAGAAGAACATAACAGACTATGAAACTCTTTGCATGTCTCTGTCTGAGTTGCTGGTGCTTCATACTGAGATTAGTATGTGGCTTATTAAATTGAACCATGGTACCGCTAGAAAGCACAGTGCAATTTTTCTGATTAATCATATTAGCATGCCATTTATGCCGATGCTGAGGCGTGAACGAGAGAAACACGGTGATTATTGGATGGAGCAACCAAGTTTGAGAAAGGAATTCCTTCAGAAAGTAAAGGACCATCTACCAAAAGTCATACCCAACGTGATTCGGTTGTCGAAGATGTATAATACTTGGGAGATGTTCTATGCTCATCTGCAGAAATTCGGATGTTTGCTGCAGGCTATTCCGGCGGAAAAGAATCCCAAGACGATTGTGGTTTGTTTGTTTGTTCCTGGA